CAAAAAAAATTCAAAAAAATTACACATACAAATTCCTATTTCTTTTAATTTTGCTTGGCTTAAACACAAAAATATTAAAAAGTATATTTCACGTTTTAAATAAATATTACATTCAATATAATAAATTCTGTAACATAATAGGAATTATATTTGTACATTCTTACACTAATAAAGAAATTAATTATAGAAAATGAAGACAATAAAAATAGAGTTATTCAGACAAATATTCTATTATAAGTAAATAGAAAGCAAAGAAACTAACTGTATTTTCAAAATTATAAATTAACGCAGTTTTGAAATAACTTGAAAACTCCTGGAAAACAACAAAAATGAAAAATATAAAGACTGCAACTTCACTTATTAATAAACAACTTGAAATCTCCTCAAAAACAACAAAAATGAAAATTTTAAAGACTGGAATTTTACACATTAATAAATAATTTATTTTTAATAAAACCAATTGTATTTTCAAAATTATAAATTAACTTTTAATTTTCATGTTCTATCATTTTTGTTAGTAAAAATTGCTCCACCAAACTATGAAAGTATATGTACGTATTTCTTTAAGTAGCATATCAATATCCATCGACTCATTTCATGCTTTTATGTTTTGAAATATTATAGCCCACAAACACAATAAACTACTATTATCAACAAAAAAGTGAGATATGAATTTACATTAAGAAATAATTTTTTTGAAGAGTGTTATCAATATAATATAATCAAATTATCTAAGAATTACATAGGGGTCTAAAAAGAATAATTTAAAGGGAAAAGGGCCTGATATACCCCTCAACTTTATCAATTAGAGCTGATATACCCCTCATTATGGTAAACTTTATTATAGATGTCCCAATTTTTTTTCAATACAAAAACTAAATAACAATATAGTGGAAAAAAATTGTGTTAAATTATATTATAGCCACAAAAAAATTGGTTTTAAAATTTTCTCTTTACACTAACGAACGAAAGAAAAAATTAAAATAAGAATAAGAAACTCAAAAAATGATAATCAAAGACTTCAAAAAATAATTTATGTATAAAAAAGATTAAAATATACCTTGAAATTCGCTAGAAGGATCATATATACCCCTACATGAATTTTTTAAAATTTAAAAGTCAAAAATATAAATTTAAAACTATTTTTTTCACTTCCGTTAAATTAAGGGTATATGTGAGCTTATTTTGTAACGGTAGGGGTATATGTGAGCCGTTTGTATAACGGTAAGGGTATATATGAGCCACTATCATAACGAAGGGCATATCAGCTCCAAATGACAAAGTTAAGGGTTATATCAGACTCTTTTCCCTAAATTAAATAAAAAAAATTTAAAAACTCAAGATTTATATCTTCACGAACACAAACAAATAATATTAAATGTATGATTTCAACAAAGAAAGAGTTGTAATTATATTAGACATATCAAATTATTTTACCTTGTAAAATCAAATTATGTAAGAATGTCTAACCATTTTCATTATAGATATATCTCCTATAATTTGCAAAATATAATCAAATAAGTAAAAAAATTATCTAGCAAAAGAAGAAAAAGATAAAGAATAAGGAGAAAATTACATTTAATCGTAAGTTCTCCTACACATATAATCATTTTTGACAAAACATAAATAATCCAAAAGGAAATAATATAATAGAAACATTACTTCTTAAGCACCTAAAAAAATAAAGAATAATCAAATCTATATAGCTAAAAATCCATTAATCTCCATCTTTGGATGATTTCATTTCATCCTATATACAAGAGTCAAGAAAAATAATAACAAATTATTACTCCTAAAATGAATCTCCATTTTTATGGTTATAAAGAGAATCATAAAAATAACAAATCAAAATAATTTATCCAAAAGAAACAAAAATATGCTTTGACATATTAGCCTTACTTGCTAATTAAAAGTAATATATGAAATCATATTTCCAAAAGATAATGCACCTTAAAGCTTAAAAATATTGTAACATGTCTACCACTAATTCTCTAATTGAAGATCACTACAATATAACACATAATTTTTGGGTGATTTTATAGTGTTAATATAACCTTCTACATTAAATAATTAGAGGTTACAAATATGAAAGGCTTGAGAGGTTATGAATATGAAAGGTTTGGGAGTTATGAATATTATTAATTCTAATTTAAGAATAGAATTTATATAATTGAAGAGGTATAAGTTAAGAAGATGATTTTGCAAGAAAAAAAATAATTGAAAGAAAAAAAAAAGGTCAAGAAATAGAGAGGTGCCACATCACCTTCTCTATTGGCTTCTCAATTATAATCTATTCACTCTCACCTCCTCTACACTTGAACCAGTGTGGCCGTCCTTTCACCTTATATGCAAACCAATCATTGTCTGAATCATTTCCTCCTTTTAAGCCTTATTCTGTAGCCTTATTTTGTACATATATAATTATTGTTGAACATAGATATACAAGTTGAAAGATTGGTATTAAAATCATCAAGTTTGAGCTACATGATGAACATTTCAAGACCAAACATAAGGATATAATATACTCATTTTAAATTGGAAAACTAATATTTATGACAATGCCATGATGTTTTGAATTGGAAACTGAAATTTAGGATAATAATGTTCTAAATTTTGAACTGAAAAATCCAAACTTACAATAGCAAAATTGACAATGTTAAGTTTTGATTAATATTTAATACTTTATACTTATAAGTTGCATTTACAAGTTTTGAAGTGAAAATACATAATTTAGGGATACAATTTCTTGAAATTTGAACTGAAAAATTCAACTCATCTGAAATATTAAACTAAGAAAATGAACATGAGGATATAGAATTATGAATTATGAAATTATCTCACAATACCAAAACTGCCCTTATTTGTCTCATTACATTTTCAGCACAAGGTACAATTATTTTAAGCTGTGTTAGTCCTTTAGAAGTGCCACTTCTAAATAAGGGTAATAAATATATAATATAGGAGTAAAATAATAAGAGAAAAGAAAATTAATGGGTAAAATGTTCTTTAAAATTTGTATAAAATAGAGAAATCTCATAACGTGCTAATTACATCCTATTCCGAAAGTCTTCTTAATTACAATAATTTTGAAATTTTCATTGCTCTCAGATACATTACTCAATTGTTCGATACATTGTAAATGATACATTACTTAAGATTCAGTTGCGTCGGATATATTCCTCTACTGTCGTATACATTGGTCTCTACTCCGTTATTGTGTCATACATTCCTCTATTGTCGGATACATTGATCTCTACTGATTCTGTTGTGTGAGATACATTCCTCTATTGTTGGATACATTTGTTTCTACTATGTTGTTGTGTTGGATCCATTTCTGTATTGTGGGATACATAACTATATATGAACATGGTTCATAATGGGAGGGATGTATCCAAGAGGAGATTTTTGTAATTTTTATAAATGGTAGGAAATTTTACATACATACTACTTGGCTGGAATATTAAAACTTTTATTCAATGACTAAAATATCCCAGCACATTGTACAATTTTTGTGGCCGTGTTCAGGAGTGCACGTGGTTTGCTTACAAACTAAATAACAATACATATGTCAACAGGGAAAAGATGAAGGCTCATCCCAAACAATTAACTTTGAATCTTGAATTAGAGTCGCTAATGAACTCTGTTTACTAATATTGCAAGTGAAATTCGCATCAATGTCAATAGGAATTTTGAAATGTGAATGAGTTGTTCGTCCTCCTGGAAGTACTATTTGACTCCTCTCTAATTCAAAAACGTTTCATACACTTGCCAATTAGAACTTTTGGATCCTCACTCGCTTAAACAATTGTGTTGCTGAGTGAGGCAAGTGACCGAGAAAAACAGTCAACTTCTAGAAACAGACCTGCTTTGAAAAATGATTGATTTCAGATTCTCTAATTTTCAAGCCTTCAAGTACAATTTCACACCCTTTTCAAGCTTTTAAGATTTGTAGGGAACCATAGTGTTCTATTTTGGATGATGTTGTATTAGTATTTAGTAGTTATTCTTAGATAGAAGTTATGCTTTTAGTATCATCTAAATTTCTTCCGTTATTTTTGTATTGTTTGAATTGCAACTTCTGATTTATTAGCAGACTGGCAAATGATACCAAAACACCATACTTTATCATATTCATACTTACAATTGTGGAATTGAGAGGATGATCATACAATAGGAGACTAATGATGTTTGGAAATGATTTAGGTAATATTGATTTCCTTAATGAGTTATTATCTGTATTTTTGACAACATAATATTTTATGAAGAAGTTTTCACATTTTATGTCATTATGCATGTAGGATAGCTTTTGCTTTAAAAATTTCTTGTTCAACTTTTCCTTTAAATAAGTGAAATTCAAGATATATAGTTTAAGAGGAAATGACAATAGGGTTGCGGACCGTCTCAACTTCATTTGAAAGTGTCACGCCCCAAAATCTTCAAGCACACAAGAAGAGAGATGATGCATGCAAAGAGTGAAGAAGAGAGAGAAGCACCAGAAAAATTTGTGAATACAAAATGGGGCTACCCAAAAGAAGATGAAGAGAAATAAGGAACTAAAGAGCAAACACGTGTTAAATAGTCACATATGGATCCAAGTATAAACTATAAAGTAGACATTTCTTAGTTTGTTGCACAATTTGTATCCTCTACATATGATAAACAATGACATGCTAATCTTATATATCAAAACTGAAACATCTGCTATATCACTCTTCTAAGTAAGGGTCATTATTTTGGTTGTATTACATTAGTTAGTATTTGCAGATCGTTCAAGTTGGCATTATACTGATGTCTGTTGTACATATTCTAAATATTTGTAATAGTATATAATATATGATATTATCCATCTTCTGCAAAAGATATCACCCTTGATTCATTAGTATTAATATTTTTACAAGCATAATATTTTAACTATTGGGCCCGTGCTTGCCACGGGCCTCCGCCATCTAGTAATCCAATATGCTAGAGTAGTGCTGTGCATACACAACTTCATCCTTAACTTTTAAAGGTGGAAAAACTATTTTCAATTTCATGTTCATTCAAACTATATCACATAAATTAAAATTCGTTCGAGTAGGTATAATTAAACACCATACATAAGATAAGATTACCTTTTGCAATATTCATCATGGAGATAAAACAGAGGAGTGAGTATCAAATTACCATTTGAAAACAGAAAAAAAAAAAAAAAAAAAAACACAACACATGAGTAGCAACTATCATCATAATCATAATCAATTATCATAAGTGCGGCATTCATCCGTTTCTGGATTATCCTTACAATAATTCTCCAGCACATCTGATTCCTTCTTCCTATCCCTCGCATGGCTCGCCGCCGCACTCGTCTCTTCCACCACATCCCACGCCGCCTTACACTCACCGCTCACCGGATCCTCCGCACAAGCTTCTTCAGCTTCTTTTACACTTTCCGCAACTAAATCAGATAGCTTCTTATCCGGAACTACTCTGGGTACTACTACATACATCCTCCCGTAACCGAATTGACCTGATTTCTTCCATGGACTGTTTAGGGTTTGGAATTTCAACGGTTGAATTTTGGGGGAATCGGATGATTTGGCTGAAATTCTTGGCGTTGTGATACTAACACCAGCTATGGACGCCATTTTTTTTTGCTGTGTTAAGGTGAAGAAGAAGAAGATGTTTTTTCTTATTGTGTTGGGAATGAAATTATCTTTTTAGGATAGCAGATTGGTATATATTATCAACGATGAAATGAGTAATGAACACACATTTCTTATCATTTTGTTGGCCAATGGTTAACATCCACGTCATGAAGATGACATCCAAAGATATTTTGTTGTTAAAAATATATTTATTGTTATATTTAAATTTTATTAAAAAGTATCTTTACATTAGATCCCCGTGAAGTCACCAAATGAATTGTCAAGTAAATAAATTAGATTTAGACACGATTGTTAGTTGTGACAATACGGATTCGACCCATTCCTATCCACTTTAAGCTACCGTCATATGTTAAAAATATCGAGGGATATACTAAACTTAACTACTCCCTTAATTGGGAATTGTATCGCCTTATATTTCTATCGATACAAAAAAAGTCTCGTTTAGGATTGCTTTGGTGTAAGCCATGTTATCTTTTAATTATTTTATCTTTGACTATTATATCTAATAATAGTATATTTTCGTTTATTCTCTTTTTATAGTAAATTCATATTTTTTTTATATCAATTTTACATTTTTTAAAAAAACATATAATATTCAAATATTATATTAATTAATAAAATTACATATAATACACTTTGTGCTTCTGAGTCATGAGCTATCAGGTTGAAGTTCCAACAAAGGTCTCACCCTTGATAAACAAGATTATGTAATACGTGTTGTTATTGATGATGAGAGGTGATAGATATTTGTGAAATGAATCGAGTGCAAAAAAACTGATCCGAAGTAAATGGGGAAAAAAAATACAACTATTTAAATATAGTATTAAGATGAAGTTTATTATTCCATTTACAAGCTTGCACTGCCATTTGCTTGCTAGTATTTTCTTGAATTGCGTTTCGCCATAGACAGTGAAGCTCGAATTCTGAAATGGGTATTTTCCAACAAAGTTGAGAGCTTTTCTCCGCTCTCAAATTGAGTCCATTAATGTTTCAAAGAATGAAACTTTGCTGCTTTTAATGGGCAGAGATGTTCATCATCTTCTTAGTCTTGTTAAAAAGCACCAAAACTATCGCAAAGCAATTCAGCAAATTCATACTCAGTTAATATTCACCACTGCAGAAAACACCTTCAACTCAACTTCTTCAATACCCATTTTATTAACTCTCTGGAACTCTTTAATTCGACATTACTCTCTTGGTATTTTCCCACAAGAATCTTTTTTTCTGTTCAAACAATTGCGGTTACAGTATCACCCCATTATCTTTTTTGATAGTTTTACATATTCATTCTTGATTAAAGGGTCAGCTAATTTAGGAAAGTTTTGTATTGGGAAGCAGATTCATTGTTTGAGTTTGAAGGATGGGTTTGAATCCCATGTTTATGTGCAAACTGCATTGGTTAATATGTATGGGGAATGTGGGTTGGCTGGTGAAGCCAAGAAGGTGTTTGATGAAATGCCTGTGAGAAATTCTGTGACTTGGAATGCTTTGATCAGTGGTTGTATTAAAGGGGGTGATGTTAAGGTTGCTCGGGCGGTGTTTGATGTAATGCCGGAGAAGAATGTTATTTCATGGACGGGTCTTATCGATGGGTATACGAGGATGGGTCGGTTTAATGAGGCTTTGTCATTGTTCCGGGAAATGGTTGTGGTTGAGGGGATTAAACCGACTGAAGTGACTCTTTTGGCGATTTTCCCTGCTATTTGGAATGTTCGGTGTCTAGAGTGTTGCGGAATGATTCATGCTTATGGGGAGAAAAGTGGTATTGATGTGTTTGATATTCGTGTTATGAATTCGCTTGTGGATGCTTATGCTAAGTGTGGAAGTATAGACGATGCTGTGAAAGTTTTCGAGGATATATCGGATGAAAGAAGGAATTTGGTCTCATGGACGTCAATAATATCAGGATATGCAATGCATGGGATGGCAAAAGAAGCTTCTGATAGTTATAAGATGATGGTGGATGCAGGTATTGAACCAAATCACATAACGTTTTTGAGTATGCTCAATGCTTGCAGTCATGGAGGTTTGGTGGATGAGGGGCTCGAGTTTCTCAGAAAGATGGTTGATGAGTTTGGGATTCAACCAGACATTAAGCATTATGGATGCTTGATTGACATGTTAGGGAGGGAAGGTAGGTTAGAAGAAGCAGAAAAGATAGCATTGGAGATACCTAATACAATGTCAAATGTTGTGATTTGGAGAACACTATTAGGTGCGTGTAGTTTTCATGATAATGCAGATATAGGAGAAAGAGTTATGCAGAAGATCATGGAGATGGAAAAAAAATATGGTGGCGATTATGTGCTTCTTTCTAATATCCTTGCAGGTATGGGCAGGTATGTGGATTCTGAGGGTGTGAGGAGAGTGATGGATGAACAAAATGCATTTAAAGCTCCCGGTGTTAGCTTTGCTTAATCTAAGATTGTAAACTGACTGATTCATTAATCATAAATCACATTTTCCTTGACGTGGTTCTTGTACTGGAAACAGGACCAGCACCAAATTGGTGTTTTCTGCATTTCTTAGTTTATTCTCATTTAATTCGTGCCTCATTTAGTCCGTTGGTTGAACTAATCTAAGAGCTTTTGTTAAGAGAAAGTTGCCTCCTAAAAGAGGCAGCCTGATGCGGAAGGACAAGGGATAAAAAAGGCAGCCTGGTGCACAAAGCATCCTAGAGATATAGCCTTCTATCCATGATAGATTTAGGTTACATCGTAAAAGCATAGTTTTTTGAAAAATCATGTAGATACCCAAGATGATGCCAGATATAGTAACATCACAACAACAACGTCCCAATCGCAAGCAAGCTGGGATTGTTTGGGATCGGTTATTTAAATCCTCACTTACTATCCATGATAGATTTAGGTTACATCGTAAAAGCATAGTTTTTTGAAAAATCATGTAGATACCCAAGATGATGCCAGATATGGTAACACCACAACAACAACGTCCCAATCGCAAGCAAGTTGGGATTGTTTGGGATCGGTTATATAAATCCTCACTTACTATGTTGCTCCATTTAATCTCATCGCAGAGCAATATTGTATGCAATAAAATGAAAAAAAAAAAAAGTTCTCTGCAATGTTTCTGGCATATAAATCTTCAGCAGATATAAAATATTTCTTTGAATACATAGGACCTTTAGTAAATGTACTAATATGGCTAAAACATATTGCCAACTAGTTGGTATCACTTATATTTATCTTTTTCTTCCATTGTGCCCTATTTCTCGGTAGGCCTACATGAATTCCAAGAGATTGTAGGTCTTTCGAGGCAACTTCCTTCCATGCGATTTTAGGTCTATCTTGTCCCATTTTTAACACATTTACTCGCCATAATTGACATGGAGGCCAACGCTAGACATAACCCAACCATCTCAAGCAGGTTCTCTTCTTTTATCCTCAATGTGTGTTTGCTTGCACCTATTCCCTAGCTACAACAACTCTAAGGGTATATAAAAGAATAGAGAAAGTTAAGTATCCTACTAATTTCCTGTCCTTAAAGCTCCCCTTTTCAGTGTCTTTACAAGAACTTCCAAATAGAAACAGATTCAATGGATGTTCCCTTCCATCCAACTAGGAGGGCCTTCCCATCATTTTGAACAATGCAGGAACTGCCATGGGAAAATTGCTTGAGAATCAGATTTGCTTGATATCGAGATGACTCGCTGAGCTCCATTTCCACCATTCCAAACCTTGCAAAGTATGCTCTCCATACATCAAGCTTAACATTCCGAGTGAACCTTTCTGCACCCTCAGCTGCAACCATATTCCGGATTCCTTCACCAATGTGAAATACTTCAATCCTCTTTCTGACGAAATTGTCTCTATCCATGCAGTCTTCAAAGCAATCAAAAAGCACACTATAAAAGAAAAGTGCCTCCACGAAACGGTTCAAAAATGAAGGTGAATTATGGTTTGCTTCAACTTCACAGACAACAACCACAGATGGTCTTAATCCTCTGATTACTCGCATCGTGTTGTCCAGATAATCTTGCCTGCAGATCATTGTTCTTAGTACAGTGTAACAATAGACAGCTACAGTTTCATCTGCTTTAACATTGACTGATTCTGCCTTGAGATCTTTCATGTCAGACATAAAGACCATATCAAATGAAAAGGGAAGATTCAAGGAATTGGCAAAACTTTGTAATCTCTTGCCTGTTTCTTCGATTTTCTCTTTTTCTTGGTGTCCAATGGCTGTTACTTTCAGAAGCTCAATTGGGCAGTCACGTCGTTCTGAAAGAGCTTGCATCAATCCTGTCCACTGAATTCCACTTCTGATATTAAAGTCAACCAAATGGATCTTGGTTGCACCTTTAACATATTCAACTATTGCCTGATTTCCCGCGAATTGCATTACTTGACTGAAGGGAATTTCTGTATGGCATTTTAAGGATTCAGGTGTATTACCTAATGCCAGAGTGCTTAAAAACCCTAACTTTCTTTCAAAACATGGGGACCTTCCTAATTCTCGATCAATCCTTTCTTGTAAAGCTTCACCGAAATAGAAACAAAGTCTCTGGATTGGATTACCTATTCAAGATATAAACAAGTTAGTAAATGTGTACTCTCTCTAATAGCTTAAGCTTTTAGACGACATGAAACACAATTCAATGTTACCTGTAGCAGATGCCTTCCACAGGCAGTGTGCAATAGATTGGCTAGCCAAATGAAATTGCTGCTGATCCACTTCTTCTGCAGCAGCTAGAAGGAGGTGAACAAGTTCCATGTCCTTTGTTTGCTCTATGGAAAGGCCCGAAAGTGATGAAGCATACGGATGTATAAACATAGAAAGACCATCTACCCTTTGGGTGGAGTACTGGATATATCTTTCTCCAGCAACTCGTAAGATTTCTTCTGTTGACAACTTAGAGATGTTACTTACACGAGCCTCGTTGCTGAGTAATACATTGCTCAAGTTTTCCTCACTTGGTTTCTTGAACAATCTCCCACAATTGTTCAAGAGCTCCAAAGATGCTAAAGAAATGGAATTTGTTTTCTCTCCATGGAAATTGTCAAGCCTTGGCTCCTGAGGCTGAATCCCATTAGATGCTTCGGGGGTCATTTGAATTTGGATAGGCTGCAGGGGCAAGTCCATGTTGGAAGAATCATCACTTTGTGTCCAGTGATCTGAAATGCTTTGTTGCTGATCTTCCAATGACTGAACTTGTTTGTCTGATGTATTATCTTGATATTTAAGGTCAAATACAGTGTAAAGAGAATCAAGATCCTCACTGTCCAATTCAAACCAAGGATCTACGGCGCCATTGTTGATCAATTCATTTCTCCCACACTCTTGAACATGATTGTGACCACCCTGGAAAACACTGAAATCAATGGTGGGGATTGGGATTTGATCCATGATCCCAATTCCAGGACCAGTTAAAGTGGAGACTTGATCAAATTTTTAGTCTTGGTGATGTTTGGCTTTCAATAACCTGTGTTTTACTTATATCAAGGGAATACACTCAGTATGACCTCAACAAGGATGAAAGTGAAGTTCTTGTCCTCGCGTAACAAAATAACCTGGTCATGGTGAAAGTTTAAAAGATTGAAACCGTGGTGATTTTGTTTCCATTGCTGAGACAAGCAGAAAGTCCAGATGAAAGATAGTCCTCTTAACAGAATTGTATTGTTTGTATCTCTTAGAGCAACTTTTACTGAGATAGCAAAGATCATATTAAGGATTTATGCATTTGGACTCTATGCTTGAGACAATGAGAAACTTTTAAAAGGCATAATGTCATGGTTAGAAAGAAATGACAAAAGAGATAAGTTAATCACAAAAAAAAGAAAGTTTGCAGGCCAAATGTTTGTCTGAGAACAATGACATGCAAATGTTGAGTGACTTGTGTTTGTGAATACAAGTTCAAGCCCTACATCAAGCGAACTAACTCTGGTATTTAAGTGGAGAGGGATAGAGGAACGGACCCATGTCTTCAAGTTTTGAAAGCTGTGGCTGGCCCAAAGGATCTACACCCAACAGATTCCTCGATAACAACAACAACAAACTCAATCTCAATGAAATCCCACAAGTGGGGTCTGGAGGTAGAGTATATGAAGACCCTTGGCTTTGTCGGTAATAAAAGAAATGAATATTTGTATTTGCATTTGTTTAACTCAAAAATAGAAAAAATACATAAATGTCCCCTTCTTTGACAAAGCAAATTCTGTTTAACAATCAACATTACAACTGTCTTAACAGAGACAGGAACAGAAAATGTCAAAACTACTCTCTTAATTAGACCTTTTCATCATTTCTTGTACAACAGCCTGCATTGTCTGAATCAACCACAATATTCCCACAAAACAACACAAAATTTAGCCAAATTAGTCCCTTCACAACCTTAACCATACCAATTGCCACAGTCACATAGTACAACCACCAACCAACAAAATCAACCAAACCAACACTACCAAATATGTCTCTTCTCACCTCAGCCACAACCACTAAAGACTCAACTTCATCCCCTAACTTACACCACCACAAAATACCAAAACTCATTGCCATAGCCACCTTCTCAACATACCTATCCTCCGTCTCAACGCCAAAAATTGTGTCATCCACCACCGGTTTCACTACTTTCTTAGACCAAAACAACGTTGTCTCATGCAATCCCATGAAAAACAAACTTCTCGTTAATAAATATAATCTTTCGTGACTAAAATTAGTACCATCTATTCCAACAGCTATACTTCCTTCTATGCCTATGCACACACAAATTTGAAATGTGAAAAGTAAAAACCACGACATATAAAGACAAGATTTTGAAATCATGTGATCAGACAGAGTTCGTCCTGTCAAGCATTGAGTCAAAGCAGAAATACTGACAAGTGGAGTTAGTAGTCGAAGAAAAGTAGGATTTGCATAGAGAAAGAGCTTGACAAGTAGTGTATCGGGCTCCGTGTAATCTGATGTGGCAATGAGATAGCGAGTGACTGACAACCTAGCGAGGACGATAAAGGAGAGAGGAAGGAGAAGGCTGAGGAGGATAATGGTAAGGCATTGAAATGACTCTCTTAACATATTGACAACATAGTTTGAGATTGAAACGACTTTCTTCTCTGGTTGTTGATAGAATTCTGAACTCGAACCCATTTAATGTAACTTATACTTAGTTAACAAGAAGAAAAAAAGATTATTTTTTTTTTTGGTTAGCAACAGGATTTGAGAAGTACATAAAGGGATGAGGAGTATATATAATTTGATCAAAAAATTATAAAGTGGTTGTCACGATGATATTCTTTGCATAAGGTTGACATATGATATTTAAAGAATTTGGTGTGTATAATTTTTATTCCAATTATGTACGGTACTTTAGTTTTTTTTTTTTCCAACAAATTTGGTGGTCATATAGCACGTAAGATATATTCATGATTAAGTGTTTCCTTTATTCTATTTCCTAATTTGATTTAACACTCAACATAGTGATAAAGCAGCGACGTAGCCATATACAATGATGAATAATTAATCGAACATTTTTCATTGAGAAATTATATAATATATGTAGAAAATTATATTATGTTTGTACGTAAAAAAATGAGAAAAGGGTCTGAAAAGTATTTCAACTTTGGCCGAAATTATTGTTACGATATCAAACTTTATGGAGGATCTTTTATCCCCTGCACTATTTGATAGTGTATTTTAAAGGTTTATATGTGCCCACGCGGACACATTACTATTTAAAATGATACAATATTTATGATGTCCATATAGACACATATATACCTTTAAAATACATTATCAAATAGTATTGGGGTAAAAGGTCATTTCCAAAGTTTGGTATCGTAACAACAATTTCAGCTAAAGTTGGATATTTTTCAGACCCTTTTCCCTAAAAAAATTACTGTACTTTTTCTTATCTTTAGGCATGGGTGATAAGTTGCTTAAATTTATTTAGAAATGCATGCACTAACCTAAATATTTGGCGAAATTTTGTACAAAATAAGTAACCCTTCCGATCCATTAAATATGTGTTGGATAACTGACCATTTAAACATGGATCAAGTATGAATATTATCCATATTGTTCACTAACAATGTATATTCATAAGCCAATATTATCAATACTCATTTGTTTGCTTGTTATTTAAATTTTTTATGAGTTTTTACTATATGAGAGTCTAAGCTTATTTAGATATTTACCTTGTGTTCACTTTACTATTTTTATTTAACCTACTCATATCCAATCATACTAGTCTATTCGTCATTTATGCACATTCGTAGATTTTTTGCACCAAAGAGGAAGGAATTTTTTTCCTATTTTCATGAATTTCACGGCTCGATAATAATCAATTAACATCTATAAAGGAATTCCAATTAATTAAGTCGATTTCTAAATATTAGGGTTAAATCAAACTAATCAAGTCGATTTTTGTCACTCTTATAAAATATATGTAATATACACTTCAAACACATATTCCAGACAACAAGTGGCAAATATTTATGCGTTTGACCAATCAAAATTAGACATTATGCATTGTTTTAATATTTGCAACTTAACCATTGTTGTTAGATACTAATTACTATTAGTTAGACTTATATTGCTCCATTTTAGAGAGAAAAATCTTAAATTATAAGTGTTTGATCGTGACAACGATAAATGCCACCAAATGCAACGTGATGGCATTATACATGTGGCCTTTTACTTCTTCACCTATTAAGATTTGGATTTGGCCCTTAAAATAGAATATAGTTATAATCTAATTAATTAATTAATTAAACAGCCACAAAGGACTTAGACAATATTTGGCATTTGCATCCAAAAACAGGCCTCACAAATATGGTGTGCACCCCAACTGATTCCCCAGTACCTACTACTCTTCTAATCTATTAACAAAGCTGCAAGTCACATGAAATTACACTCAATGACTTTGAAAAGCAAGCGAGCTCAAAAGTTCAAAATCAACTACCTACGCCATCCATCACCCGTCAAGGAAGGAAAGAACTCAGAGATGTTTTGAAGATAAGTAGTTCTATACAACAGTTAAAGATGAACTGTTTAATGCTTTAGTATTTTTGGTGTAAAAAAAGTACCTTGACTGTTACCACTCTATTCAAAATTTGATCTCAGCTTACTTGTCACAAGAATGGCACTACCAGAGCTCAAACCATAGCTATGAGCTCATCAATTAAATGGAGCAGCATTTTATGAAATGCGTACCCAAAAGAAATAGACGGAGTCAACAAACCGATATAAAGTGAATACAACTTCCCATAGCAGCAAGAATATAAAGTGTTCAAGAAATGTTTGATCAACCATAACACAGACCAATAGTTTTGGAAGATGATCCATGGAGTAATTCACAAATACAAAAGAAAACAGTAACCAACAAGAAATAATAGCACTCTCCTCAATAAAACCTGCATATGTCACAACTAAACTATGTTAGCAGGCCTTTTAATCCTTCATCTTTTCATGAATTGCCTTGTAGCACTTAAGACTGCAAAGACGAAGGTTTGACTTCGGATCCCGGTAATTGGATGGGTTCACACAGGAAGGACCAGCACATTTTTCACGAGGGGGAGGATAACTGGAATATAGCAACAAAACCACAAAGCACAAACAGTAAGAACCTTAAATGAATATTAATCATAAAAAGTAAGGCTCAACGATATCCTTACCTGCAAGGCTTAGAGTCAAAAATACTTGGCAAACCCATATCGTGAGGGAATGTAACAACAGTTCCAGTTGGGCCCATAACTGTTCTGATAGTGTTTGGAACAAGCTCTTTGGCAGCCTTCTCCTGCAGGATACAACAATTAATTGATAACATTAACGAAGTTGCAGCCTAGCAAACACATGGGATGATACCTGTGCCAACTCTTCCTGCTGCTTCTTTATTTTCTCTTGCTTCTTCTTGTTGGAATCTTGACCTAGTATTTTTCTAATTGCCTCAGCCTGCAAGATTCAACAAGTTATGCTCATTTCAGCATCATAAAATCTAAAAAAACGTGATACATCAAAAGCAAGAAAAAAAACAAGGGCAAACCTCTGATTCCCGAGCTGCCTCCTCATATCGTATTCTACGTTTCTGAGCAGCCTTTGCTCTTTTCAGTTGCTGCTCAACATCTGAGAGCTTCTCCTTTTGTTCTGCAAAAATAGCAGGGATGACAAGACAAATTTTGTACTGTCAGAAAAGGTACTTGAGGAATGGGACAACACTGCAAGACATGAGTAAACACAAAATTTTCTCACTTTGAGGTGGTGATGGAGGACAACCGTAGGGATACCCAATCTGATTCACAGAAGTAGCAGATGAATCCCTTCTTGATAGAAGAGCCCGTTGTCGTGTTGTAAGACTTATTTCACTCTTTGTTTCAACCGATGTCTCATAGGACTCCTTCATTTGCTTCTCCTTCTTCTTTGTCCGCTTGGCCTCTCCATCAGACAATAGTTCTTCCTCCTCATAATCAAGATCCTCAGAACCTCGATTTGATTTTCTGTTAGCTTCTTTGCCAGACAGAAGAGCCCGTTGTCGTGGACGTGTTGTAAGACTTATTTCACTCTTTGTTTCAGCCGGTGTCTCATAGGACTCCATTTGTTTATCCTTCTTCTTTGTCCGCTTGGCCTCTCCATCAGACAATAGTTCTTCCTCCTCATAATCAGTATACTCAGAACCTTGATTTGATATTCTTTTAACTTCTTTGCCTGACCTTCCAACATCTTCCAACATTTCATACTTATTGACCTTCAAACCCCCGGAAAGACTTCTTGTCTTAGTTAGTTCTTCCCCCACATTACGCTTCTCCAAGTAGGGAATCTCATCCTCCTCATCAAGCTCATCCAAAATAAGCCTCCTTCGCCTGTGGACCTTACGATTTTGATGTGGCTTGTCTCCTTGTTTTTTAAACACATTCTTCATCGGCATCTTCTTCATATTGCTTTTGCTAGCATCAAAAGTGCCTCCTGGGAAACCCTTGCACGAAATTCCTTTCGACCTACTTTTCTTATCTGCAAGAGGACCGTCTTCACTTGAATTGTCCTGAAACCCAGAGAGACGATTCAAATGAAAGATCAGTATTACCAGGATTATTAAAAGATAATCTATTGTCACATAATAGCCATACACATAGGTAAATGAACAATGGAATAATCACAAGTCGCATTTTTAAAGAAATTGCAATGACTAACTTTCTTGCTCACTAATTTGGAAAGGAAGTAGTGAATCTCCAAATTAGCTACCAAAAAGAATGTTTCTCGGACACATTCATTATTCATCCCCTGAGAATAACCAAATTTAGATGTTGCTTTATGTGTTCTCTTTTCCATATTTCGGATACTAGATGGAAACTAGTATTCCCTCCCTCCATGTTTACTTGTTCATGTTTGACTTGGCACACCCCTTAAAAAGCAATAAATAAAAAAATAGTTTTACAATATCAACCCTACTTCTTACAAGTATCTCACTCATTGAGAAATGAATAGGAAATAATTAGTACTAAATAATAAAGGTAAAAAAGGTATAAATTGATAAATTATCTCTTGATTTTCTAAATTGGACAAGTGAAGGTGAACATATATTATTAGTACAATGGACAAGTAAAAGTGGACGGAGGGAGCAGGTGGAAAATTCTTATGTGGCCTCTCCTCGAAACCAACCATAATTTCTACTAGACAATATCTGACAAAATATAATTAAGATTTGGTGGATTTAGAGAATTCAAAAGATTAAGTCGAGTGTGCTATAAACCTGAGGAGTGAGATTCTGCCGAGGCTGAGAGGCATCAGAGGGTTGTGCACTTTTAGAAGACAACAAACTGCCAGATGATTCATAAGAACTGTTTTTGGTTTGAATAATGCCAGTCGCTCCACCAATTTTCAGCTTCAACTTTTCCAGCTTGCTATTATTAGCTACACCGTCCCTAGCATTCCCTAACTGCCTAACAGACGCACCATGCCTGGGATTCGTATCATCTCCTGCACATGCATTATCATATGTCGCGCTAGATCCCCCATCCTCCTTGTTCTTTTTAGAAGAATAATCACCTTTGAACCTGTTAGCAGAAGAATCTCTAGATATAGAGTAATTGAGGTTGTCGATTCTCCCTCCTGCATTAGCATCATCACTATACTCATCGCTAGAGGCACTATCTGAAAGTGATGTCTGGGGTGAGTGAACATGGCATGCAGGAACTGTCAGATTCTCTGTCCTAGGTCGCCGCAGCGTCTGGCTTCTTTTCTTTCTAACAGTAGAAATGAGCCCTTTGCATCGACTACCATCACTGTCATCCATGAAGTATGAGAAGATCTGTGCTACCACAAGCAAATGTGTACCAATTAGATTGTTAAAAGTACACAATACAAGATAAACTTGGAAATTGCTGCACCAACTTTAAACTACAAGCATGCAAAGACAACTTTTATTAGACAATTGCGGAAAACCATTTCTAACAGAAAAAACATGAAGAGAAAACAGATGTTCAGCAAGAAAAATGAAGGAAAAGCTACCAAAAAAATATTGAAAATCCAGGATTTAGCACTGGGAAACATCTCTGCACCTCATATGGAAGGCCAAGATGTAAATATATCATCAATAAATTGAAATGATCACCCAAACAACAACATACCTAGTATAGTCCCCACAAAAGAGACCTTAACCCTACCTCAGAAGTAGACAGATTGTTTTTGATAGACCCAAGATAAACAGTTCAAAGCAATCTAGAAAGCGTAAACCGAAGTGAAAACATCACAAAGCATACCGAACAGTAACTACAACAAAATAATACCATAATCGAAGTACAAGAAACATCATATAGTAACAGAAATCGAAAGATCACCTGAATGACATTGAAATTTTAGACAAAACTACTAGATCACAAAACCCTTTACTCAAAAAACCAAAGTAACTGGATTAACAAGGCATTAGCATGCCACATAAAACACTAATCAAAGAACACGATTTTACATATATGAGCCAATGAACTAAAATCAAGCTCAACAATCGAATCTAAACATATAAACTACACAAAATTCTACCAACAGAATACTCAAACACAAGGAAAACCCACAAAACAAAAAAGAATTCTCCCATGCCAGAACACAAGCACATTAATCAACACACACCCACATGCCAAGAAAATTCATTTTAACAGAAACAAATGACTAAGCACAGAACACTCAAAACACAACAAACCATCAAAGGCAAAACCACCACCACCACAACAACAACAACAAAATAATTCTCACATACCAGAACACAAACACATTAATCAACACACACCCACATCCCAAGAAACTTCAATTCAACAGAAACAAATGAATAAACATTCAGACACCTGATAAACAACCAAAAACAAAAAAAAAATTGCACCTTGTTACAACAGTAAGCACAATCAATCAACAGCTTGTTACAACAAGCAACCACATTAGTTGTATTAAGCAACAAAAAAAAAAAAAGTACCTCCAAAGAGATCAAAAAATTGAAGGATTGTATAAGTCGGCGGAAAAAAAGATGGGTTTTTTTCTGAATGGGGTAGGTTAGGGTAGTGAATAGAACAAATGGGTGTTGCTGAATTTGATGAAATAGTTGTAGTAAAGACAATGAAGATGCTCGTAATCTCTACCATTTTTAATTTTTTTTGTTTTTTCTCAATGTGATCAGTTTTTTCTTCTTGAAATTGGCTTTTAGCCAAACTGAAATTGGCTGGACTCGCCGATTGCTTAATCTCCTCATCATCTTCATCTCTACCGTTTCACTCCTTCATCTTCTTCATCGCTGGGTTTTGGAATGAAGCCAACTTTTGGAGTTGTGTTTTAATGCAAAGCCATATGTGTATAGATTTTTCGAAAAATATTTTTTCTATTCTCAAGTATAAGGTTTGTATTATATTTTTGTTAAATTATAAAATTTCGTTCAAAATGTTATTGTTATTGATCTATATGTTAATAAAACATAGTTTATAAATTAAAATTAATAATATATCATGTGTTTTGATAATGTGATATGCATGAGATGAATTACGAATCGATGCTGAAAAACGATAATGCTATTAAAATGGATGATTTATTAAGTAAGACATGGTTAAAGATGTTATAATATTACGTTATTTTTCATATTTATGCATCTACAAATATTTATGATTTATAAATCAAAAATAATCTTTTATAATTTATAGAATGATGATTATGACGTAGAATGAATAATTGTATTAAAAATATTTTTTGATATTTAATGATATCTTATCAGGAATGAAATTAGGAGTTGATGAATATATTACTTGCATGGTACATTTTAGTTGTTGCTCATAGTCAAAATATTTATGAAATTTTTAAGTTGATAATTTGTTTTGTTTCAAAAGGAATAAATTTAGGAGTTGACACATATATTAATTGCATTATATGTTTTAGTTATTTTTCGTAATTAATAGAATAGTTATTGATGTCGTTGTATTTATGGCATTTCAAGTTGATTGGATCTATTTTAAAAAAAAATGAAATTAAGAATTGACTGCATGATATGTTTTAATGTTGCTCGCGATCAATAAAATAGTTACAGATGCGGCAATATTTATAATATTTCAAGTTGATTTGATTTGATTTGTTTTATAAAGAATAAAATCAAGAATTGACGCATATATTGTTTGCATATTACATTTTATTAATTGCTCACGATTAATAAAATAGTTACAAATGTCACAATATTTATGAAATGTCAAGTTGATTTGCTCTATTTCAAAAGAAATAAAATTAAGAGTTGACGTATATATTGTTTGCATGTTATTATTTAGTGTTGTTCGCGATCAATAGAATAACTATATATACGCAATACTTACTATATTTCAAGTTGATTTAATTGGTTTCATAAGAAATAAAATCAGGATTTGACACATATATTGCTTGCATGGTGTATTTAAGTTGTTGCTCATGCAAATAAAATAGTTTCAGATATGATATTGCAAAATTGGTTTGACATGTTTCAGAAGAAATAAAACTTGGGGTTAGACACATATATTAATTGCATGGTACATTTAAGTTATTGCTCACGACTAATAGAATAATTACATGATACCGCAACATTATGATATTTCAAGCTAATTTGATCTGTTTCAAAAGAAATTAAATCATAAGTTGACGTATATATTAATTGCACAATATGTTTTGGTTATTACTGGGGACCAATAGGATAGTTACACATAGCGTAATAGTTATAATATTTAAGTTGATTTAATATGTTCCATAAAAAATAAAATCAAGAGTTAAAACAAATATTGCTTATATTGTATGTTTTAGCTGCAATATTTGTGTTATTTACAGCTATATATCTATAATATTGATGATTTATAAGTTAATAAAAACAATCATTCATAGTATACATAATTTATATTTCATGTGTTTCGATCATCAAAATCCGACATGAATAAGTAATTGTACTCACAAATAGTAATATTTTAAGAAACATGAGTTTTTAAGTGAGATGCTAATAAAATATAATTAAAAATATTATAATATGAGTTGTACATCTATAATGTTGATGATTTATAAGGCAATAGTTCGTAGTGTATTGAATTTATGTATAACATGTCTTGACCATGATCTTATGTGAAATGAATATTTGGACTCGAAAATGATAATGTTTTGAGAAATAGGTAATTTATTAAGTGGGAGGCATTAATAAAATAGTTAGAAATGCCCTAATATTTATGATATTTTTAAAATTGATATGAACTATTTTAAAAGGAATGAAATCAGGAGTTGGCACATATATATAGCTTGTCTGATATATTTTAGTTATTGCTTGCGATTAATAGAATAATTACAAATGCCGCAATATTTATGGTATTTTAAATTAATTTAATTTGTTTGAAAAAATAATAATCAGAGATTGATGCATATATAGATTGCGTTTGTTTTAGTTACTGAATTACTAATAGAATAATTATAGATGCCACAATATCTTATGATATTTCAAAATGATATATAAAATTTATGTATTCATGTATCTTAATTATATGACACAAATTAAATTATATACCTGTACTTAGAAATGATAATGCCTCGAAAAATAGGTGATTCAAGTAATTTATTAAGTAAGACGCTCAAAAAATAATTAGATATACTACAAGACACGTCTATAATGTTGATGATAGGTAAGTCAATAATAATCTTTCATAATTTATAGAATACATGTATCACGTGTTTTAATCATCGAATGAACAACTACATTTAAATAGTAATGTTTTAGAAAACGGGTGATTCAGGTGATTCATTAAGTGAAGCTCTAATAGAAAATAGTTAGACATATTGTAATATTTATGTTATTTCATGTTGCACATCTAAAACGCTGATGTTTTATAAGTCAATAACAACCTTTTATAGTTTATAGAATCTATGTATCACATGTCTTGATCATCTTACATGAAATTAATAATTGCACTTAGAAATGATGACGTTTGGAAAACGAGTGATTCAGGTGATTTATTAAGTGAGATGGTAATAGAATATAGTTAAAGATTTATATTGTAGTAATATTTATGTTATTTTAATTTACACATTTATAATATTGATGATTTAAAAATTAATAATAATCTTTCATTGTCTACAAAATTTATGTACCACATATCTTGATCATTTGACATGAAATGGATAAATGTACTTAAAAATGGTAATGTCTTGAAAAATAAGTGACTTATTAAATGAGACTCTAACATAATATTTAGAGATACCTCATACCCAATATATATTTCAGGTTGATTTAACCTCATTGCGGCATATTTAATTGTTGCTATTTACTATAGTACAATTTGTTGTCTCCCATCTGTTTCTAATAATATTTTCATTATAACAACATATGCCGAAAGGAAAGAGATTGTTTTCGACAAATCCTACAAATCTCATAGTTAAATGATGAATGCAATATTTATATACTTCTAATATTTGCATTACAACAACACATTTATTGTAATTGTACAAATGGAATTTGAAGAAAGTGATGTGTACACAATTTTATTCATACCTTGTGAAGAAAATGGTTTTGCAAAATCGAAACTTTTTTTTGGTTAATAAATAATGACATGGATGAGCCTTTTCTCAACCGTAAATGGCATAAACGAGCCAAACTTTTAACATATGACATAGATGAGCCTTTTTCCAAAATTCGATGGCATATTTGAGCCTTTTCCCTCTAAAAAAGTTAATGTGAATAAATTTATTGATTATAGAGGATATTGCGAATAGTACTCAAGGCCAATATTTTCTCTTGAGGTTCTCATTAGCTTAGGAAGCAAATGAGTTCACTAGGCTTTGGGGTCACAATATTCACTCCTATCCATTAATTCATAACTTCTTTAATAATGGCCAAACTAAGATAAACAAAAAGAAAATGTTGACAATTTTCAACTTTTCTTCATTGTAGGTTGTTTCCCAGCATCCTATAGTTGATTAGCTTAACACTTGTTTCATGGATGCCAAGAAATGATCCTGGTCTTTGTACCAAAAGCAAAGAAACCTCCAAGTTTCTCTTTGTATTGCATAGGCGTACAGGATTGTTTATTGTCCTGTACGCCTTTTTTTCTTTCGTTTGTTAACCATGTTAACAAAATTATCCCACATTTTGTTACTAGTGATCTTATGTTACATCTCTTCTATTCCTCGCTCGCTTCATGCTGCATTAAACAATGATCAAAACTCATTGTTCTTAGCATGTGGTTCTCAAAATGGTGGAGTTGATGAAGATATGATAAAATGGGAATCAGACATGAAGTATCTCATGTCTGGTGATAAATCAGTCATGACACAACCTGAATCCCCTGACCCTTTGGCTCCATCTGTTGTACCATATACAAATGCAAGAGTTTTTCAATCAGAATCTTCATATAATCTTCCTGTTACAAACCAAACATCACATGTTATGCTTAGGCTTCGTTTCAACCCAACACCTTATCCTAATTTCAATATTTCTAAATCATTTATGACTGTTTCTGCTGGTAAAGTAACATTGTTAAATAATTTCAGCGCGTTTATAACTGCAGAAGCCTTGTCACAAAGTTGCATTACCAAAGAGTACTTATTGTCTCCTGTGGGTTCTCCAACTTTGGAGATCAAGATTAAGCCTTTTGGTGATTCATCATTTGCATTCATCAATGGAATTGAAATGATCACCGCGCCAGATATATTTTATGGTCCGGATCCTTTGATGGTTGGATTCAGTACAAGTATTCAAAATTCTATTACTCAGCAAAGTATTTCTGTAAAGGAAAACAATATGGAGTTAGCATATAGGCTCAATGTTGGTGGACGATACATTTCTCCGAAAAACGATTCAGGTGGGTTAATGAGAAGTTGGTATGAAGATACTCCCTACTTATATGGTGCTTCAATAGGCATTACTATGAAGAGTAACAGGACAATTCAATACGATAACATGCCACCATACGTTGCACCACTTGCTGTCTACGAGAGCTGTAGATCGATGGGTTATGATTCAAACCTCAACAAGAACTATAACCTCACTTGGGTTTTCAATGTTGATCCCA